CCTGCTGCAGGCTCTTCACACACAGTAGCTGGCACCTCTTCACCCCCTTTCAGGTCTTCAGTATCTACAACACAAATACTGTAGAACTCCCTGTCTTTTGTATTTTGTCTGTTGTCTACATCGAGATAGGAAAATGTTGGAGACATCTCTCTATAGGAACTTGAGACTTTTTGTAGGCAGTCACTCTTGCTGTCTTCAACATTTACTATTGTTTCATTCTGCCTTGAATTGTCAGACGTAACTGCATAAACCTCCAGAAAATTTCTATTTAAGGAAATTTCACCCTGTAAGCCTTTGTCTAGGACATCTGGTAGATGTGAAGCAGAAATATGATCAAAAGCACAATGCTCTTCTGCAGCTACATTTTCATTGTTAATATTACTGTTAACATTTTCTATATTGTTCATGTGTTGACAGTTACTATTAGATTTTTTAGGTGCTCCTTTTTTAATATCCCTATCCTTCTTTTCTTCACTTTTCTGCAGATTTCCATATGTACCAGAGACCTTCAGAAGGTGATTAAAGGAATTAAAGAAGCTAAAAGGTCTGTCATACACTCTCTTGGAGCTCTCCTGGGGAGTATTCTCCACAGTTGGAGAAGATGGATATTTTGCCTTTTTACCCCAGATCCCAGGCTTAGCACTTAACACTGCACAATCATTGCTATGAGCGCGTTCAGCGCCAGCTACCGCGGCTGCCCCGTTAACCGTCCTTCCCACTGCAGGCAGACCCTGGCTTTCCACACTTCCTAAAATTGAAGATAAAGTTTTACTTATCCTTGACTCTGTTGCTTCCTCTTCTACAGATTTTTGTAACAAGCCGGTTTTCTCCTCATTTGTGCTGTTACTCAATTCTTTACTGAAGCAGCAGCCCATGTTTAAGCGGTGTCAGAGGAGTCTTCTCATTGCAAATCCCCTTCCTCTATACACTAAACTAACTTTCTGCTGCTACTGAGGAGACAAGCTGACACCCAGCTGCCAAAAATAGCACACTTTAAAAGCA